GGTAAGGCAAACGAGCAGCATCTCTTCTGCATTTAAATGGACAAAACTTTGTTTATGTATTCTTACGCTTATATGCAGGTTCACCGCAGCTTGTTTTTGCTAATTTTGTATAAGTCAAATAAAACACTTTCATAGAGATGAATAATGTCATTTATTAAAATGACGGTATAAATGTGAACAATTTAACAAACAAGATGGGGATCAGATTCACAAGCTTTGATTAGCAGTTACGTAAAATACGATAATGTCTGATCCCCCAAAACTGACTAGAAAAAAGTATCTGTAAGACAAGACAATGAAAACATCATATGAAAAAGTTAGCAAAAAGATAAATCTTTGTTTACGTTCGTGATCACGTGTTCCACCAAGGAATTCACCTGGCAACTGTATTCACCGATAGTACAACAAAGGAATTAATACAGACGCAAAGCGCTTTTGCAGTATGACTTTCAGAAACATAGACTTCCGTTTATTTAACAAATGAATTGTTTGTCATTATAAGCATGAAAATAATATTTTTTAAAATGCTTTTCATTTACCATAAGATTTTGCTTTTTTTCAAGCGTAAAATTCCTGTAGTATTCGTAGTAACCTATAATGCAATACTCATTCAGCTGATTGGTCAGTTGAAATCATGCTGGTGCCTCATTTGCTAATCTGACGCCAAAAAATATAGTCCCGGTTCCCATGCAAAAAATATTTCTCCAAAAAGAAATTTTAATTCATGACTGCAGAAAATTGTACATGCATTATAGAGAATACTTTTGTAAGTTTAAATGAATGTAAAAGAGATCGATTGATTGAAGTACATTTCCACATATATGATTAGCTGATTCTAGGGTGGTGAAAACTGAAACGCAACATAACTTTTCTGTTTACCATGATTCCACGTGCTAGTCACTTCCTAGCCACATTTCCGTGAATAATTTACCCAATCTCGCTGAAGTCTCGCTTACTCTCGCCAGAGCCACTGCCAGAGCTACTCTGAACTCATCGGGTTTTATAATTTGCAGCACACCGAAAAATAAAAGGTTCCGAACACATTAGTAGGGGTGTTCGTCAATGCGAATATTTCTCACGAACCAGTCCTTCAGGTCTCTTTGTCTATTAATAACAGATCAAAAAGGCTTGATCGCGAAAAATAATCGTCGCAAGCTACATGTAGTTTAATCCCGGTAAATCGCGAAATAAAGTAGTCGCGAATAAAAGTTGGTTTACAGTATATGTTTCAATACATAACATTTTTGCGCATTCTTTGCATTTTTTAATGTCAAAATAGTTTGTTGATTTTAACATACACGTTTAGATTGCCTGCAATTTTTCTTTTTAACTTCAGAAATTTGTACAATATTAAATGATCGGAAAAATTGGTTCAAACTGTTGTCTTGATTTACAATAAAATATTTAAATTTTACAGGTATTTTTGTATAGATTAAACAGAAAAATTAGTGCTCAATATATAATTATTTCTGCTTTGATGTCAATAGATGATGAAGCCAAATAAGTAATGCAGTATTTACTGAGCCCAAGAATTTAAATAACTTTCTCATATTTAAGTCTTTACATACATGTTTTACTTAAAATGAATATGTCTCAATGTTTTGCTAATTAAAAATACGTTGAATCAGTTATGCTAATTTAAGTTTGTATAAGGCTTGAATAAAGTTGCTAAGTGTCAGTGCTAAGCAGTGATGGGAGATTTGAAATGATGGAAAACCCTGGATTATGATTTTATTTTAAAGAGCAAGAGCCATCTTATGCATAAAATGGTCCTGTACTTATATCAATTAATAAACTATCACCCTTTTTCCCATTTCATATATTAAAATGAAATAGACACTTGGTGCTTTCATTTTCTATAACAAAATTTCGTTTTGAGAATCCGCACATTGGAAAGCAGGCTTTGAGAAATTGCAGTGTTCTTGAACTTTGCAGAAAATACGGGTATTTGACTACCTTCAGCAAAGAATTAAAATATGAGCACACCTCACGATCCAAAAAATAAAACATGTTTTTTGATCTTCAGAAACAGAGCTTTCATGATGTATTTGCATATTTTGGATCAGAGGTTGTGCTCTATATGAAATATTGAAAAAATGCTTCAACTTTAGGTCATTTTCAAAGGAATTTACAGGATACGAGGAAAATGGCGCATTTTATGACGTCATAATGCATTGACTAAATATAAAATTACGTCACAATTAATAGATACATGGTCTCCACCACTCCAAGTGATAAATACTGCATTTGCAACCTAAACTGAGCAGTTCTGATTTTTCAGAAATTCTCAGGGCCAAATAAGGCCGAACGTGGGTCTTGCTCTTTGTAAATGTAAATGGTTTTTTTTTTCAAAGTTATCAAACATTTCAATCGAACTTTTCTTTTGTGAAAGTAATTGGTTTCTTTAAAGCTTATTAAACCATTTCAATCAATATAGATTAACATCACAGCTTACTTGCAATAGGTATAGTTGTTGACGTTTGAACTTTTGTCATTGTTGTTGTCATTCGGGCCTCTGTCAACGTCGTCGTTGTTGGTGATTGTGTTGTGGAAGCAATCATTGTTGGAGCTCGTGTTGTGGTTGTTGGAGCTTGTGTGGTGCTTGTGATTGTTGGAGCTTGTGTCGTTGTTGCAGCTGTTGGAGCTTGTGTGGTGGTTGTGGTTGTTGGAGCTTGTGTGGTGGTTGTCGTTGTTGGAACTTGTGTGGTGGTTGTGGAAGCTTGTGTCGTTGTAGTAGTCTTTAGATTTTGTGTATGTGTTGCCCTTGCAGTCGGGAATATGGTGGTCGTTGTTGGAGATTGTGTTGGGAGAATTTGTCTTGTGATTGTTGATATGGGGTCTTCTGTGATTGTTTCAGATTGTGTTGTGGTTGCTGTTGAAAAAGATGTTTTAATCATTGTCGTTGGTGCTCTCGATATGAAAGGTGCTGTTTGAGTTCGTGTCCCCTCATTTGTTTGGGCGGGTATAATCGGTGTTTGTGTCGTTGTAGCCGTTTCTTGTGCATGTGTTAAATTTTCTGTTGTGGGGGGATCTGCTGTTGTCAGTGCTTCTGTAGTAAGTAACAATCGAAGTCATAATTTACCATAACTTTCAGAAAATGAAAATTAAAGAAGATTACAGTGCCATGAAACTTATGAAAACATTGTAAAAGCTAAACATATTAATAAAATGTGATATTTTGATTCAACAGAGAGGTATTTTTCTAAATTTTAAAAGAAAAGTTTAATTTTTGCTCTGTTGCCATACGGGGGCATCAGTGTTTCACAAACACATCTTGTTATTCTGTGACTTGATAATTGTATAAACATCAAAAAATCGAATTAAAAATATTTTTACCCTCTGAACATCTAACAGAGGCATCTTCATGATGACCACAGTTATGAGATTGCCATCCATTATGTGGACACTCCTCAATATTGGTCTCTGATCCACGACAGTTTACATCGTCTAACAAAATAGGACCTGATCCTTGACCGAAGAAAGCATATTTAAAGCTCTTAGCGTTTTGTCTGAAATATAATTTATTTACCAATATAAAAAAATAAATCTATAAACCAAACATTGAAAAATTATCTCAAGAAATATTTTATAATATTCATTCATGTAGCATTTATAATGTTTGTGAAAAATTTCAATATAATAATAAATAAAAGAGAGAGAGAGAGAGTTAAAAATATAGTTTCAAAATGGAACAAATTTGCTGTTACGCATAAAAGATAATACGCACGTTGGATATCCCAGTGACCTACAGACCACCACGCTATCCAAATCATCCCAAGAATCATCACAAACTGTCCCCCATACACCATTACGGTATACCTCTACTCTACCCTCGTATGGAGTCTGTCCTCCCACAAGCCGCACTGGACTGACTGTGTTTAAAAAACAAGAGGATCATGGGCCACATCGCTCACCTGAGCACATGGGCTAGTTAAAGAAGAGGCCCATGGGCCACATCGTTCACCCGAGTAACTTGGGCGATGTAGTTATTTACCAGATTCCGCATCATATTAAACCTATTGTGACCCCCTACCCCGCACCTGTTATAATTTTAATAATTTAGAATCTACACTACCCAAGGATGCTTACAGATAAGTTTCAGCTTTCATGGCCCAGTAGTTCTTGAAGAAGATTTTTAAAGATTTTTTCTATATATTTCTATGAAAAACTTGGATTCCCTATTGTGGCCGCGCCCTACCCCCCGGGGTCATCATTTTAACAATTTCAAATTTCTGCTACCCAAGAATTCTTCCATATAAGTTTAGCTTTCCTGGCCCAGTGGTTCTTGAGAAGAAGATTTTTTAATGACCCCACCCTATTTTTGTCTTTTCTTGATTATCCCCCTTGTAAGGGGACTTGGCCCTTCATTTTAAAAATTAAAACTCCCCTCCGACTAAGTATGCTTTGTACCAAGCTTGGTTGAAATCGGCCCATTGATTCTTGATTGATTAATTGTATATTGTTTAATGTCCCTCTTGAGAATTTTTCACTCATATGTAGACGTCACCGTTTGCCGGTGAATGACTCAAATTTTGACCTTTACTCAGCACTCATGGCCATTGAGCAGTGAGGGATCTTTATCGTGCCAACGCCTGCCGCTGACATAGGGCCTCGGTTTTTAAGGTCTCATCCGAAGGACCCGCAACTTTTACTTCCAAGTGCCGAGCGCATGGCGAAGGAACAGTTGCTACCATTTTTATCGACTAGGTCAGTCGCGAACTCACGACCTCCCGATCACGAAGCGAGCGCTCTACCGACTGAGCTACCGTGAACGGTCCATTGATTCTTGAGAAGTCGAAAATGTGAAATATTTACGGACAGACAGACGGACGACGGACATGTGATAAAAAAAGCACACATGAGCCGAAAAACAGAAATTAGCTTAGTATTGAATAGGTCACTTGTTGGGGAGGGGGTTTTGATTTTTCTATTACTTGAGAATGGCACTATATCAATAAAGCTTACATGTATAATTATCAATAAAGCATATATGTATAATTTTGCCATGCTTGAAAATAATAAAATATTTTTCCAAAACATATTACTCGCATTGTGACCTCTCGCTAACCCCCTCCCCAGACATTATTTAAATAAATTCAAATATTCACTACTTGCAGATGCTTACATATCATTTTGACAAAACAAAACTTTTCTGTTCTGGAGAAGATTTTTCCTACATATTCTTATGCAACACTTTGATCCCACCCTATACCCGGGGGTCTTGATTTGAACAAACTTAAAGTTACACTACCTGAGGATGCGTCCACTTAAGTTTCATCTTTCCTGGTAAAATGGTTCTGGAGAAGAAGATTTTAAAATGATTTTCCCCATATATTCCTATATTAAACTTTGATCAGCGATTGTAGCCCCGCCTTACCCCCGGGGGGGGGGGGCATGCTTTGAACAAAATTTAATCTTCACTACCTGAGGATGCTTCCACATAAGCTTCATCTTCCCTGGCCCAATGAACTCTGGAGAAGATTTTTAAGATTTTCCCTATATACATGTATGTTCCTATCTTAAACTTTGATCAGCCATTGTGGCCCCGCCCTATCCCCGGGGGTCATGATTTGAACAAACTTGAAACTACACTACCTGAGGATGTTTCCCCATAAGTTTCATCTTTCCTGGCCAAATGGTTCTGGAGAAGATTTTTAGAAGAAACCACTAATTTTTCATTAAGTCCTAAATATCACCCCTTGGAACAGGAATTAGCCCTTCATTTCAACAAACTTGAATCCCTGTCACTCAAGGATGCTTTATGGCAAGTTTAGTTAAAATTAGGTCTGTGGTTCTTGAGAAGATGTCGAAAATGTGAAAAGTTTACAGACAGCTAGACAGACGGACTACAGACAAAATGTGATCAGAAAAACTCATTTGATCTTTCAGCTCAAGTGAGCTAAAAAAGCACAAAAATCAAACTTCATTTATCATATATTTTCTTATAAAAGACATTAAGAATCTACTTTATTTAGGGATGTAATTTAAAGCTCAGGCTTAAGAAGACTGTCAAGGAAAGTGTCACAAAAACATTTTAGAAATATAAACTTAGCAATGATTCTACATGATCCAGCCTGGCATCTGACGGATGCATCTTCATGATGGCCACAGTTATGTCTTCCCCATCCGTAATGACTGCAGTATTCAATTCTTGTTTCTGTTCCAGCACAACGAACATCATCCATCCAAATAGAACCGTTTCCCGCACCAAAGTATGCACTGCCGTAAGCTGTTGAACCAGTTCTGTCAAGAATAAATTTATTTATATTATGTTCTCTATTTTAAACAGACAGTTTTAATTCATAGATAATAACGTGAATCAAGAGGAATAAAGGCCTTCACAATATATCAAACACTTCTCATATTATGAACCCCCTTTTTTATGGACCCCGATTTTTTATGTCAGAGTGAATAATATTTATAGTAGATCATAGTTATAAGAAATATAATTATGCCTTAAACACTTATAAAGTGAATATGGAAGCTTTCAACAGAGTTTTGGCTTTTCTGGTCTAATGTTTCTGCAATTCTTAAACGTTTCCGCTATATATTTATATTTCTGTTTAACTCTACTCTTTAAAGCTCATTTTAGTTATCAAAAAAAAACATGGAATCCCATAATTATGTTGATTTTGGGGGAGACTGTGGTTGAATTTTATAGGTATTTAAAAGAAATAAACTATATATTAAATAAAATTTAATATAGCTTGCAATGGACATATTTTAAGCGTTTAGCATAGGTTAGCCTCAATATTGCTTTATAAATTATAATACATACACAGAAAATCCGAGAGATCGACAAACCACTATAGCATCTTGGTAATCCCAGGAGTCGTCACAAACAGTACCCCATTCTCCATTGTGATACACCTCCACTCTACCTTCATAAGGGGTGTTTCCATTGACAAGGCGAATGGGAGTGACTTATAAAAAAATAAAAGGAGTATTTAAAAGATAAGAATTCAAACTAAGGAAAATATCATTTTTGTGTTTTCGATGAAGATATTTGTTGTGAATAATGTTCTCCACATCTATAAGAATTTCAAAGCAAAACAAATATATTTCTTTAATCAGAATAAAAACCATTAAAACTACATACAGTTTAAGGTCAAGATCTAGTAAATGAAAGGTGCCTACAGATTTATCAAATTTGAGAAATAAATTCCTTTATTGATGTTTTACAACTTTAGCTTGGTCAAATAAGGTGTTTCGGGGCATAATTTGTAGGTAAACAAGATAAAAAAAATGTATTTAAAACTTTAAAATTTTCAATGAAAAATTTAAAAAAACATCCATGTATATGGGAGTTTTTTTTTCATATTCGACAGAGGAAATGTATCTAGATTGCCTACAGTCTCTCAGAAAACGGTAATTAGTATGTTGGTGGCCTTTTCTTTAAATCAATATCAAATTTAATATAGGTATCCGGTTTACTTTTTATATGATTTCAAATTGAATGTCATGAAAATACCCCTTTTCTACATAATTCTGCTATAGTTGTAAAGAAAAAGAAAGTTGAAATTGATTATGACGTCATAATAGATCTAGCACCAAAAAATATAGTCTAAAGTTATTTACTAGATATTGACCTTAATGTATAAAGAAAAACACATAAAAAAGAGTTTTCTCTTAACTTTTGGAGATTTGTGACAAGAATGGACTTTTGTTATAATGATAACAAAACAGTGCAAATATTTTCATTTTTGTTTATTAAAAAGATATTTCCTCAAGAAATGGTTTATTTAAAAAGAAAACTAACACAAATCCTCACAGTACTTCTGAGTACTCACGTGGCATCCACCGTTCCGTTGTAGTCATCTCCGTGGTAGTTCTTTCTGTTGTGACATGTGCTGTCGGTACGGATGTAGAAATTTCTATATAATAAAATCATACCAGTAATCATAATTCTAGATAAAAAAAAAATTAAATGAAAAAATATCAAAGGACATTTGGAGAGCGTAATCCAAATCCAATCCTTGAAATATGTCATTAATCTAAATGATTTCTTCTGAAATGTAGAAAATTCTATTGCAATAATGCCAGTTTAAATAGAGGATTTATGTTATAAAAAGGACCACTTACATTTGGAACTGAAATTAGAAATAAATATGTTTACAAATAAAATACCGATGTCAGGTTTCGTCGACAGAGTATACGAAAAATAAACAATATACATTTTGATTTGTAGGTTTACATGTCTATGGGTAAGAATAAGATAACATCGCATAATGTCTGATGGTTTCCATTCCTTAGTTTCCAATCAGTCATGGACTTTATTATAATGATGCCCCTGTAATCGAATAATATTGTATAAATCACTGGTGTCCTGTCCGTCCGTCTGGATGTATGTCCACAATATTCAACCTTGCCCATACCTTTTGAGGGGGCGAAGGGTGGGGCCAGGGGGCTATGGTTTTCTTAATCCACATATTAATTTTTTGTATTTTGACAATACTTTTCTTTAGGTACCAGAAATTTGACCACCTCCCCTTGCCCTCGGATTTTGACCCACTATTACAAAAAAATCACACTTTAATCTAGACGATAATTTTCGAATATTGTGAATTAGAGATTTCACACTTCACAAGTGTATCTATTGTAACAAAACCTTTCAAATGGGTATACCATACGTATTTTTTTTTACCTTGACCTTAGAGTTTGACCAACCTTACATGTATAAAACTTTAATCTTGGCCATGACTTTTGAAAAGTTAGTATTAGGGTTTTTAAATTTAACAGGTTTATTCCCTATGACAAGACCTTCCTTTGGATACAAACAATTTTGCCCTTTTGACCTTGGAGATTGACTAGCATTTGAGATCTTCAACCCTTGCAATAAGCTTCTATTCGGGGGCATCAGTGGTTCACAAACACATCTTGTTACGACTTAACTCGTAAATGCTTAATACCACAGAAGTCACTCTGAAAATGTTTGAAAGATATAGTTTGATGCAAAACGCATGACATTGAACAGAAATATATAGTAAAGTACTACTCGAGTGTCTAGTGTTAAATGTGGATACAAGAACATGAACATGTATGTACAGGTTTAGGTTTTTATTTTCCTGTTTATTGCGTACTAGTACATGATATACACATATGTATTGAAAAAAGGTCGTATTATTTACCCTCTAAACATCTGACGGAAGCATCTTCCTGGTGGACACAGTTATGAGATTGCCATCCATTATGTGGACACTCCTCAATATGGGATTCTGATCCACGGCAGTTAACA